ACTTTTTATATAATTTATTTATGGCCAAACTGGTTTAATTACATTCTCTTTACCATTTAACTCTCCCTCTCCCTTTTTTGGAATTAATGAAGAACTTATTTCCATCATGGTGAATTCAGAATAACACCAATATTAGTTATTTAGATTATTTCCCACATCTTGCAATACTGCTTTAACTTAGTCAGAGTAGGTTCTTAACTGTTATGAACTGTATTAGCACAGGATCAAATGTTGTATGATGTATATGTATTGACATGGCTGCATTGTCATGATATGCTGTTAAAACATACTTTTTTATTATAAAACAAAAATCAATAAAATGCTAGCTAAAATATGAGGTTACCTGAAAAAGAAAGCTAATAACATGGAAGGGCGACATTAAAAATGAGAACTCAATCTAAGGCAGCATGTGAAAAGATGCATTTTTTTTTAGCCAAAAGTTAAAATAGCAAGCAAAGATTTGCACATTCATATGCCATTGTGAATAGATAACGGGACAAATAAGTGGGTCATCGATAGGTTTATAGTTATCAGGCTATACCATTACGAAGTAAGCAAACATTGTGGAAGTTAAATATCCTTAAAAAGCATTTTAAGTACAGCACATTTAAGCTAGGTACATTTAAATTATATTAAGTGCTTGAATACAATTGCTAGAAGTCTAAATACTAAGATGGGTGAACGGGGAGTGCCTAGTATTCAATGAAGATATTGAATATAATAGTGATCACAGAAACTCAGTGGAACAATGATAATCAATGGGGCACGGTAATACCAAGGTACAAACTATATAGGAATGATCGAATAGGTCATGCTGGTGAGGGAGTGGCAGAGCATGTGAAAGAAAGCATAACGTCAAATATAGTACAAATCTTAAATTAATCAAACTGTACCACAAAATCTCTATGGATAGAAAGTCCATGCTTGAATAATGAGGATAACAGTAGGAATATGCTACTGACCACTTGACCAGGATGGTGATGGTGATTATGAAATGTTCAGGGAGATTAGAGAGGCTACAAAAACAGAAAACCTAATAATAATGGGGGATTTCAACTATCCCCATATTGACTGGGTACATATCACCTCAAGATTGGATGCAGATATAAAATGTATAGATACCATTAATGACTGCTTCATGGAGCAGCTAGTCCTTGAACCCACAAAAAGCAAGTTTTGATAAAGTCCTAAGTGGCGCACAAGATCTGATCCAAGAGGTGAATATATCTGAACTGCCCAGTAATAGCAACCATAATGTAATTAAATTTAACTCCCGGGGGTGGGGGTGGGGGTAAAAATACCACAGAAACCCAACAAAGTAGCATTTAACTTCAAAAAGGGGAACTATACAAAAATGAGGAAGCTAGTTAAACAGGAATTAAGACAAACAGTCACAAGAGTGAAATGCCTGCAAAATGCATGGAAAATTAACCATAATAGATGTTCAAACTAAATTATAACCCAAGAAAGAAAAAACAGCAAGAGGTCCAGAAAACTGCCACCATTGCTAAACAACAATGTAAAAGAGGTGGTTAGAGACAATAAGACATCCTTTAAAAACTGGAAGTTGAATCCTTCTGAGGAAAGTAGAAGGGAGCATAAACTCTGGCAAGACAAGTGTAAAAATAAAATCAGGCAAGCCAAAAAAGAATGTGAAGAGCAACTAGTAAAAGACACAAAAACTAAACAGCAAAAAAAATTTTTTTAAGTACATAAGAAGTAGGAAGCCTGCCAAACAATCAGTGGGGCCACTGGATGATCTAGATGCTAAAAGGGCACTCAAGGAAGACAAGGCCGTTGTGGAGAAGCTAAATTAAGTCTTTGCATTGGTCTTCACTGCAGAGGATGTGACGGAGATTCCCAAACCTCAGCCATTTTTTTTAGGTGACAAATCTGAGGAACTTTCCCTGGCTGATTTGGAGATAGTAGTCACAGTTTCAGAGGGAATAGCATCTAGTTCTTCTAAAAAGGAATGGTGGTCATCAAGATATAGAGCATTAAGGTTTGAAGTGAAATAAAGTTGGTTAAAAAAAATGGAGGGTCCTGTGGCACCTTTAAGACTAACAGAAGTATTGGAGCATAAGCTTTTGTGGGTGAATGCCCACTTCATCAGACACAAGTAATGGAAATTTCCAGAGGCAGGTATAATTCAGTATGGAGATAACGAGGTTAGTTCAATCAGGGAGGGTGAGGTGCTCTGCTAGCACTTGAGGTGTGAACACCACGGGAGGAGAAACTGCTTCTGTAGTTGGATAGCCATTCACAGTCTTTGTTTAATCCTGATCTGATGGTGTCAAATTTGCAAATGAACTGGAGTTCAGCAGTTTCTCTTTGGAGTCTGGTTCTGAAGTTTTTTTGCTGTAAGATGGCTACCTTAACATCTGCTATTGTGTGGCCAGGGAGGTTGAAGTGTTCTCCTACAGGTTTTTGTATATTGCCATTCCTGATATCTGACTTGTGTCCATTTATCCTCTTGCGTAGTGACTGTCCAGTTTGGCCAATGTACATAGCAGAGGGGCATTGCTGGCACATGATGGCATATATAACATAAAATAAGACAGGAGATCTATGTTACACACTTGATGGCATATATAACAAAATAAGACAGGAGATCTACATTACACACTTCACCTCTCTACAGAGGAAAAAGGGCCGTAAGCTGTCTAAAATCCTACCTGCCACATGGGGCCACAACAGGGGTACCCCTAACTCACCCAGCAATATCGTCAATTTATCCAGCTACACACTCAACCCAGCAGAAGAGTCTGTCCTATCTCGGGGATCTCTTTTTGCCCCAGCATCCCCACGAACATGATACAGTTCTGTGGTGATCTGGAAGTCTACTTTCGCCGCCTCCGACTCAAAGAATACTTCCAAGATAACACTGAACAGCGCACTGATACACAGATACCCTCCCACCAACAACACAGGAAGAAGAACTCCACATGGACTCCTCCTGAGGTTCGAAATGACAGTCTGGACCTATACATAGAATGCTTCCGCCGACATGCACAGGCAGAAATTGTGGAAAAACAACATCGCTTGTCTCATAACCTAAGTCGTGCAGAACGCAATGCCATCCACAGCCTCAGAAACCACCCTGACATTATCATCAAAGAGGCTGATAAAGGAGGTGGTGTTGTCATCATGAACAGGTCTGACTACCAGAAGGAGGCTGCCAGACAACTCTCCAATACCAAATTCTACAGGCCACTTTCCTCAGATCCCACTGAGGAATACACTAAGAAACTGCACCATCTACTCAGGACACTCCCTACACTAACACAGGAACAAATCAACATACCCTTAGAGCCCCGACC